AACAAACCTAATGCTAGCAATCAGGCTGAAGCATTGGGTGGCTATTGCTGCATTGGAAGAAAGTGGAAATTACAAGGAAACTAAAAATGAACATTTTGCTGCTGGAAAAGGCTGGTTTGATAGCTCAGAAGTTGCCACAAATTAGTGACATTAAACTTTGAAATTGCAAGCCCAGATGAAAGTGATACTGTGAAGTTAACATCCAGATTGCAAGATAGCAAAACCCTTCTGTGCGAAAGACTTAGGGTTCAGATCAGGGTTGTTGACTGGGAATATTGGTGCTGCTACCATGCAAGGGGCAGCTGTCTATTTACAGCCAGAGAAACTTCAGAAGGCAAACCTGTTGGCATAAATGAAAAGTAGTTGTTAATGAAAGATGAGTGTACCTCAGGAAGAGATGCTAGCAAAACCCTTCACATTAAAAGAACTCACAGAGAATTTCAAGACGTTAAAAGTAGAAGGATAAAATGTGGTCCCGTGTGGTGGGGCATGGCGGTAATCCCAGCACTTGGGAGGCTGAGGCCAGCCTGAACTGCATAGTGAAATCCTGTGTTACGGTTGATACATTGTGTCAACTTGGAGAGTCTAGAGGTTTGGCTAAGTAACTCAGAAGTTCTGCAGTCTTGGGGTGAAAATACGCCGTCACCCTTCTGGGGTGTTATTCATTGTGACAATTTGAGAAGTTTAGGAGGTTAACTGTGTGATTCAGCAGGGAGCCAGGGTGCTTGCTTTGTTTTCATCCTGAGCCTGTGCAGGAGGAGGGCATGGAGATGGTGTGTGCTGCACTCTCCCAGGGTGGGGGTAGCCTGCTTACAATATAAAGGAGGGAAAGAGGCTTGCTCTTCTCTGCCACTCCTTCCTTGTGCTCTTCTCTGCCGCTTCTCCCTTTGCCTTTCTGCCATGAACTGTTGCCCCCGCCATGTGCGACTCTGCCTTGGAGCCAGCTGAGTATGGACTGAAACCTCCACAAACTTTCATTTTGGGTGTCAGGTATTTTGTCCCAGCAATGAGAGAAAAGTAACCAAGACAACCTATCTTAAAAAAAAAAAAAAGACCAAAAGATAAAATGTGATCATTCTGTATACCAAAATGTACCAATAAAAATCATTTTCTTTGATAATAACTAAAAATTTTGGTAGCTGAACCAAACTTAAAAGTAGGGAGTTTGCGGAGTTCCAGAAAAGACGTGCATGTGTTCTAAAAAATTTTATGGGCACATATGAATTAGTTTTTCTTTTGTGCTTTTAAAATTTTTTACTCATCTTTTATTTTCTCTCATTGCTGACCTAAGATACCTGACACCTGAGAGTTAAGGGGAAAAGCTTTACAATATTTAACTCACAGGGGCTGGGGATTTAGCTCAGCGGCAAAGCGCCTGCCTGCCAAGCGCAAGGTCGTGAGTTCGGTTCCCGGTACCAGAGAAAAACCAAAAAAAAAAAAGAAAAAAAATATTTAACTCACAGTTTGTAGAGGTTTCAGTTGATAATCAGTTGGCTCCAAGGCAGAGTGGCTTTGAAGAGAACAATTTCTGGTGGGCAAAAAGTTACACAAGAAGGGACCTTAACTGTCTTTGTGCCTCTTTTATTCAGGCTATTCAGGGCTCATAGCAGACACACCTTTAATCCTCATGCCCTTTAGCCTAGCCTTGCACCAAGAATCAGTTCCAGCTTCAAACACTCTGGATCCAGCCCCTTGTGAAAAAGCCCCACCTATGACCTAAGCAGCAGTACTTAGAATGGACAGTAGGAAGAGTTAAAAAGTTTCACATCTCTTGGGTCAGACGTTTCACACTTTCAAATCAGAGTTTTACTGGCACCTATGGAAACTAATATTGGAGCCAGGAGTCAGAATGGTGAACGTTTTATTTTTTATTTTTCTATTCTACACAATGTGAACATTTTATGCATCAGGCACACCGTCATTTTCAGAATATTGGAATGGATAATTAACCTTTTACAATGTACAGTAATGCGCCTAGAGCCACAAGAAACCTCTTTTCTCTACTGAAAAGCATTAAAATTGGATTCATTAAGCCTCAAATGAAAAATGCACAGGTTGACCTGTTTTTTGTTTCAGGAGGCTGGGGAAGGCGTCTACATTTTAGAGCCTCTTAACCGCTAAACCTGTGAAAGGCTACTTGCATATGTGAAGACAGAGAAAAGGCCATGATTGTCTAGTCCGAGGTCCAGATCCCCAAATATATTACTTTACATAAATACCAGACTTGCTTGCAAAGCATTTTAGAACACGCTACCAAGTAGTCACTGTAATCGGCTTGAACTGGTTGCTTTTTCAAATCTATAGAAATACACTTGCTTTTTAAGTTGAACCACGCATGTATGACAGAAAGTCTGCTCTAGTACAGGAGTACTAGCCATATTTTTTTGTGTACAAGAAACAGTACTTTCAGTTAAAGTGGCTAAGAAAGAAAAGTGTTAGGAAGAGAGGGCTTCGGATCACAGTTGTACATCCTGGCTGATGCCCTGGATCTGTAGGAGCGCCTGGCTAATCAAGCGTGATAAGATCACGTGACGTCACAAGTTCTCAGGACGCCGAACTGGGGCCTACACGCAGTTTACAGAGCGCGGCCACCCGCTGCCGTTGCCCTGGGGGCTCGGCGTTTCCCGGGGGCGGCCTGCGCCGGTCAGAGTTAGGGCTACGTGGCTAGGGCTACGTGGCGCTGCTCCCGAGGGTCACGGCCGTGCTTTCTTTGGACCAGAAACACCGCCGACCGGGCTCGGCCTTCTCCCGAGGTCTGCGCGCGGCTCCCAAGAACCGCACGGCGCAACGCCGCTAACCACCCCTCGCGCCGCCGCCGCCGCTCCCGGAAGTGCCGTGCGTCCGTGGGCGGGTGGGGCGGGGCGCGCACCCGGAAGTGCCGACGGCGGGGCGGGTCTGCGGCTGCCACGTTGGAGCGGAGCGCGGAGTTGGCCCTGGGCGGAGCGGAGGCGGCTGTGAGTCCGGGAGAGTCCCGCTGCGCTGAACCGAGGATCGGCAGCCGGGGGTGCCCGCCAGGTGCGTCCGCCGCTAATCGCCGGCCCTGTCCGCCGGCGTCGCGCCCGGAGGTGGAATCGGACCCCGGCCTGAGCCTGGCCTGGCTTTCCGCCGCTCCGCCAGCCTGAGGCCCGGTCGTGGCACCGGGAGCTGACCTTCCGCCCGGTGCTCCGAGAGGTGCGGCCGCGGGAGGAGGGGGACGCTCGGGCTTAGCTCGCCCGCTCAGCTCCCTGCGAGAGTTTTGTTTGACTCTTGCCAGATTTCCGGGCCCCTCGGATCCGAACGGAAGGCTGCTGTCACTTAGCCGGAGTTGTTAGGGACAATGGTCGCCGGTCACAGTCTGTACTTCGAAGGGCTCTCAAGTACTGTGTAGTTTAGTTAATACGTTGTTATAGAAGGTTAGTGTGGCACAGCTGTAAAATAAGTCAAAGTATTGCATGGACGTGGGTGCGTTATACACTTTTGTAAACGTAGAGAAATAATCTCACGTGGGTCTTGCAGAATTGGAACTATGAGATTTTTTGCGACAAATCCTTCTAAAGTTAGCTTTCTAACTACATCAAACTAAAGTTGGTTTTCTTTGTCGGCAATCGTAACCATCTAATCCACAGTTAGAAGCGTTTTTGTATCGCACTTTTTTTCCTTAAGAGTTTTCAAAGTTGGCTAAAAAAATTTTTAAATGGCTCTGTGCTCCTTGTTTCTCATTATCTCTTAATTACAGTTCTGGGAAAGATTTGTAGGCTCTAAGGACTTTGGGTAACTTGGAAGTGTTTTTATAGTTTTAAATTCAAGTTAGATTCAAGGTTTGGGCAAGGTGAAATTTGAGATGAATTTGGAATAATACCGCTTAATTTTATATATGCAGGCTCTTTTGTGAAACTTAACATATAAGAGTAGAAAAAAATTGTAAAGAGCAGTGATTATCAACTACTTGGGATTCCATTCCTTTTTGGGAAAGCACTGAATCACTTTCCCCAAAATACACACGCGTACATGCATAGGATTTTCTCTATAATTTTATTAGAGGTAGAATCCGAAACTAACAACTCATGTAAAGTATTACTAAATTGGTCTTTATACTGTTTTTTGGAAATGCTGTCATTCTTACATAGGTGAAACCCCCCACCCCATTGGAGAGTCAACCCTTTGTACTGAGCTGCATGCGTCTCCTGCCCTTTTTTATTTTTTGATTGTTAAGACAGCGTCTTGCTAAGTCAGTGAGTTGTCCAGGCTGGGCTTGTATTTGTGATCTTCCTGCATCAGTCTCCTAGAGTACTGGGATTACAGGTCTGTGCCAGTGAGCTCAGCTTCAAAAACTTTTCTTGCTGATACTTTCATTGATTTGGCTTCGGTTGAGTGAAATGAGCCTAGAACATTGGTAATTCTAAGTAAATCCTTAACAAGAGTGCAAAATGAATTTGTACTACAGGCAGTACCAGTAAGGGATTGTATTGCTAGTTTGGGAGTCAAAGGTGCAGAGGCCTCTCTACCTTTTCTCTTTTTACTTTCTGAGATGTGGGTCACCTCTTTATAGCATTTTAAGATTGACATATTTCAGAGAGTAGTGTTGTTGGAGTGTAGCATTGCTTCCTAAAATTTATAGTGTGAAAGTGAATGGAAAGAAAGTTTCCACTTAATTGGGTGCAGTTCTTTTTATTTATTTGTTTAGTTTTGGTACCAGCAATCCAACTCAAGACCTTGTGCTTGCCACATAGGCACTGTGCCACTGAACTATCTCCCTGGCCTTTTTTTGTCTTTTTGAGACAGGATTTCGCTATACAGTTCAGCCTGGCCTTAAACTCGCTTTGTAGCCCAGGTTGGCCTCGAACTCACAGTGATCCTTCTTGTCTCTAATCTGTGCTAGGATTACAGACGTGTCCCACCATGCCCAACTGGATGCAATTCTTACAGAGAGAAAGTAAAATAAAAATGAGTTTTAGTCTGAAGCATAAATTTGACTTTTACTGACTTTTGTGAAGTAGTAAAATAGTTTTGGTTGAAATGGGTATAATATGATTCTAAAATGATTTTGTAATAATTTTTAAAAGCCAAAAACAAAACAGCCATGTTAAGAAACCTGACTGGAATCACAGTATCTCTAACAGCAAAGGTTCAAGGGTTACCAATCACACATAGTGTTGAAAAACTTACACAAATTTTCTAAAGCAGGTCTCATTTGGGGAGTGTATATATATATATAGTTTCATCTAAAATCCTCTTCCTATTTTCAAAAAAAATCATTTACAATTAATGAACAGTGATTTCTAAGAGAAGGAATACACATGTATCTATGTGAAGCTGTATTTCCATAGCATTCTTTTTTTTTTTTTTTTGGTCTTTTTGAGACAGGGTCTGAGTATGCAGTTCAGGCTGCTTTGAGCTCACTTTGTAGCCCAAGCTGGTCTTGAACTCGCAATGATCCTCCTGCCTCAGCCTCCCGAGTGCTGGGATCCATAGCATTCTTACTTTGAGAATGATCGTACAGTCTTGCTTTTCTTTTTTACTATCATTAGTATTTTCTTTCTATAGGTATTGAAGCCTTGTCTGTAGTACTCAGTACAGTTAATAAGTGGTGCTGCTTCCAGCAGAGCACTGAGTCCCATAGGGCTAAGAAACCTCTGAATTCCCACTTAATCACTGTGCAGTCTTTGGCTCTGTGTTACACATTAACTAAGGATTCAGGGATTGGGTAACCCTTCAACCTTTGCTGTTAGAGATAACTGTGATTCCAGTCAGGTTTCTTCATGTGGCTATTTTGTTTTTTGCTTTTATAAATTATTACAGAATAATTTTAGAAGCTTTTCTCTCCCCCTAAACAGTACTTCTGTTTTAAAAATATGAACAGATGATGTACACAGTTAAGAAATTTATAATTATATCACCTGGGAGTTTATCTGGAGCTGGTCATTCTAGCTTATCAGTGTGTAGTTTTTTGATTTGTTTTTTGAGACAGAGCCTTGTCATGTTTGAGGCTGGTTTTCTCACTTGTTGCTATCCTCCTGCTTCAGGCTTCTGAGTGCTGGAATTACAGGTGTGGGCTGCCATGCCTGGCTCTTGTCAGTATATTTGTATCCTTAAAATAGAGGCACTCAAAATCAAATAAAACTTCATACCATGCAGTTTTGAATCCAGAGGGGTAAAAGTTGTAACATCTCATCTGATTAAAAATTGACAAGGTGGCACATAAAGTAGTTTATAAAAGATAATTGGAAAATACATAAGCAGTGTGTGATAATAGGATGTTATAAAGTGTCTACTTATGCAGGATGGCAGTTTAATATAACATGTCTGAAGTGGGATACTGACCAATGTGAATAGTAAATAGCATATTTAAGTCAAGGTGGATTGGATCACCTGGGAAGTTAACATGAATGAGCTAGAACTTGAATTTACTATCAAAGATTAAGTCACACAGTTGACTGAGAGGAGGAAGTCATTTATAAAAAGAAAATAGGTCTTTTTTCACATCTTAGAAAATTGGAGGTTTTCCCCTCAGAGTAATATTAGGAGTGAAATTTTCTCAATCTCATGATAGCACTAATTTTATTTTTTGGGGGGAACTAGGTCCCATCATGTAGTTTGTACTGGCTTGGAACTTAGAATTACCAGTGTTCTAGGCTCATTTCACTCAACCAAAGCCAAATCAATGAAAACATCAACAGGAAGAGTTTTTGAAGCTGAGCTCACTGACTTAGCCTAGGCTAGCCTCCTGCGTACTGGGATTACAGGTGCATGCTGTTGTCATGCTAGCAATAATTTTGGGGGGCGGGTACCGAAAATCAAATTCAGGACCTCATGCTTGCTAGGCAGGTGCTGCACCACTGAGCTAAACCCCCCGCCCAATAATTTTTAAAATATCTAGCGTATCAGAACACTTGGGCCAGGCATGGTGGTGAACACCTGTAATCCCAGCATTTAGAAGGCTGAAACAAGAGAATCGCCGCAAGTTTGGGACCAACCTAGGATACATGGGTTCAAGGGCAGCCTGAACTACATAGTGAGACCATGTCCCAAACAAAACAAAACAGAAAAATAACCTACATCTTGCTAGGCACATTGTTTGCCTGTCTATAAATTACCTCGTTTAAATCTCACACCATCCCGTAAGGTAGTCATTCTTATCTGTATTTTACAAATGTGCAAACTAGGGCACAGAGGAGTTAATTAATGTGACCAAGGTGTCATATCTAATAAGTGGCAGAGCCCATAACGAAGTTGAGCATTGACTTTAGAGATGATTTTAACCATATAGTACAGTCTCCTAACTCTGCTTTCCCCTAATCTAGCACAATTCTAAAAATGCATTTCTTGCTGGTCATGGTGGTGCACACCTGTAGTCCCAGCACTCGGGAGGCAGAGGTAGGAGAATCATTATGAGTTCAAGAAGAGCCTGGGCTACAAAGCAGCTCAAGATCAGCCTGAACTGCATAGCAAGACCCTGTCTCAAAAAGACAGGGTAAATAAAAAAATAAAAACACATTTCTTGGGGGGCATGGTGGTGCACACTTGTAATCCCAGCATTTGGGAGGCTGAGGCAAGAGGATCACTGTTGAGTTCGAGGCCCGCCTGGGCTACATAGTGAGGCCTTGTTTCGAGAAACAAAAACAAAACAAAACAAAATTAAAAAAATATGTCTGTATACATATACACACACATATATATATAAAAGTAAAAATGCACTTGTTTTCTTTTTAATTTTGTTATATATGGTAGTTGCATGGTCCATTACTTATTTCTTTTAACGGTTTTGTTTTTGTTTTTTTGAGGCAGGGTCTCGCTGTGTAGTTCAGGCTGGTTTTGAACTCACTATGTAGCCTAGGCTGGCCTTGAACTCAGGCAGTCCTGCATCAGCCTTTCAAGTGCTGGGATTACAGGCATACGCCACCACACCTAGCTTCTAATGTTAATTTCTGATGATAAAAATTAAATATTTAAGCTTGTTGGAAATAATAACTAATAACTTGGACTTTGGAGCTAAACTTCTGAGTTCAAATCTTGAATTTGAGTCTTGCTATCATGTACAAATTGTCTTTCTTTCAGACTTTATCGTCTTTAAAATCTTACATGGTCTTACTATTTTTTTGTTTATTTGTTTGTTTTTGAGACATTCTTACTGCGTAGCCTAGGCTGGCCTTGAGCTCTCAATACTCCTGCCTCAGTCTTCCAGATACTGAGGTTATGGGCCTGTCCCACCACAACTAGCTATTCTTTTTAGGAAACCTGTTTTATTTAAAATTAATTTTTAGGCTGGCTATAGTGGTGTGTGCCTGTAATCCTAGCACTCAGGAGGCTGAGGCAGGAGGACTGCTGTGAGTTTGAGGCCAGGCTGGGCTACGTGAGCTCAAGGCCATCAAACTGCATAGGTGAAATAAAACACCAAAAAAAAAAAAAAAGTAATTTTTAAGACTACTCTTATTGAGTAATCCTACTCCAGGAAGATGCTTCTTGTCATTCTTTGGCTTGGTGCACTGTCACTCATCCTTTTTTGAGAAGTACATGTGTTGGAAAATTAATTCTTCAGATACCACCCTGTATTATTTTTATGGAATATTTTTCCTGACTGATTCTTCAGCTAAAGCTGTGTGGCAGTTGTGGTGAACTTATGGTTTGCATGCCACAGCAGGTTGTTTGTATCATTGAAAGCTCTGAAAGGTTTGCCATCCACTGGTTTATAGGTTGAGCACCCGTAGTCTAAATAACTGAGAAGAGTTTTAGATTTGGGAGCATTTTCAGATTTCATATTTCAGGGTTACAAATAGTCACCCAGTAAAGTCTATGCAGATATTCCAAAATCAGAACAACTCTGAAATCTGAGACACTGATAGTTCCTTTCATGTAAAGGGTATTGAACATATATAATCTGTGGAAAATTAGAATACCTCAAGATTTGTCTCAAAATAGTTTCAAAAGTTTGTCTTACACTTTTGACCATTTCCAACAAATGATACCTAAACCAGTTTGAATTAATTGCGTGGGCATTACACTGTTGCTTTGTAAAATGTTTCCCTGTGCTGTTGTATGTGTAGTATATTAATGTGTAAAATACCCTGTTTAGCAGGATGAAGTTAAAGGAAGTGGATCGTACTGCCATGCAGGCATGGAGTCCTGCCCAGAACCACCCTATTTACCTGGCCACAGGTTAGTTCAAAAGAGAAGAGATGGTGTGAGTAACCTAATTCTTCTCAACCACGTGCAGCTAATCCATATGTGTATTTTAAGATTCAGTTCCAGCTTCATCTCTGGAAAGTCTCTGTCCCTTTTGAGATACCTCCATCCCCCCTGTCCTGAGTTGGATGAGCTTCCTCTGTGCTTCCGCAGAAGCCTGTCCATCACAACACTGACCATGATAATGTATTACAGTGCAGTCTCTTCCCCACTGTGCAGGAGTTGTGTTTATTTTGAGTCTTCCAATATCAAGCATAACCAGTGCTTAATAGTATTAGTTATGTCATTATTGGAAACTGAGCAGTATCATTTTTATGGAAGTAAAAGACATATAAAAGATAGTTGGAATGAATGAAGAGCAAATCTGATGCAAGCAGTTTTATATAAAAAAGAATTTCATCATGTCTAACTATAGGTAGATAGCATAAGTCGTGGAACTGTTTTTACAGACAGCTTTTAAAATATCTGCAGGCTAAAAAAAATTATCCATACTACCTTTACAAACATTATACCCTGCCTTGTGCCAGAATCTCATTGCTGTAGTAATTTAAGCATCTGCTCAATAGCAGATATGCTGAACTTTCAACCACTAATGCAGCATTCATGAGCAAGATAATTGAAAATCATGCTTTGAATTTCCATTTGTGCCATTTCCCTGAGTCATTTATTTTTGCATGTGTAGTTACCATGAATATATTTTCCTTAGGAACATCTGCTCAGCAGTTGGATGCAACATTTAGTACCAGTGCATCCCTTGAGGTGTTTGAATTAGACCTTTCTGATCCATCCTTGGATATGAAATCTTGTGCTACTTTCTCTTCTTCTCAAAGGTATGAAGTGCAGCCTTAAATTCCTGTGAATAGTTATATGTTGTGTTTGATGCCCACATTGTCTGCAGTTATATTGTTATTAGAAACTGCAGTGAATATCATCAGTGACAGATGTTTTGTGAAAAGTGTAACTGCATATTTGTGGAAGTAAAAGTGTTTAGATGTTCTCTTGATTATTTTATTGCTGACTCGTGTAATGTGCAAGAGAGGTTTGTAATATTGTAGTTTCTAATTTTTTTCTCATAATATTAGTGGAGTTACTGTTTTCTATCTTCATTATCTTATTTGTAAAAAGCATTTGTGACTAGAAAAAACAGTGGTTATATTAATCACCATATTAATAGTGGTCGTCTCTGAATGGCAGGTTTTTATTTTCTTCTTTGTTTTTACCTATATTTAGAAATATATTTCACAGAGAATTTTGTTGACATGATTATTGATACACTGTTTGGATCACACTTTCAAGTCCTGATGTAGAGAAAAGATGCTTTCATTTGAGTAACAAGAGAAACTTCCTTGCCTCTGTGTTGTAGCAGAATTTGAAGAGATTGTTGTCTTTAGCTAGCAGCGTGCAGCTGCAGTCATAGGGTTTCTTGGCCCCCTGTCCTCTGCAGTGCCCTTACACTGCAGGTCAGAGGAGCCTCACTTGCCTTTCTCTCACTACCATCTCTCATCTGTGCCTCCACGTCATGTTCCTGTTTTATCTCCGTGAGCTTTTATTCTCCACCAGGGATAGTAGACATAATCTTCATGTCACCTTTTTACTCTCACATTACATTATTTTTCTTGGAAAATTTCAGATAACTCCCTTAACACCTTCAGTGTTTAATAGACCTCCTGCTAGTGACCACTTGAGTAGTCAACTAGAAGGTATTATTTTTCAAAGAAAGTGGTTGATTGGCTCTGTTTTACAGAAGAACCTAAGACATTTTAGGAAGATTAAATAGCTTACACTGGGTCTCATATTATCTGAATGGTCAAACTGTTTTCGAAGCCATGTATTTTGATATATAGCTCAAACTCAAGTAAACTTTGCTATGCTGTTTTACTCCACAGAAAGTTTTACTTTTGGAGATTATAAACTCATGTAGATATGAGTATAAGTAACAAATGAAATGTCATTTTACCTAAGTCACAAGCAGGAGTGGATGAGAAACCATGTTTTCATAATACTTTCAAAGATATAAAAAAATTAAATGTACAATTTTAAATTCTTTCTTACATTTATTTGACTTCATTTTTTCCTAAAGGTACCACAAATTGATTTGGGGGCCTCATAAGGTGGATTCCAAAGGAGATGTCTCTGGAGTTCTGATTGCAGGTGGTGAAAATGGAAACATTATTCTTTATGATCCTTCTAAAATTATAGCTGGAGACAAGGAAGTTGTAATTGCCCAGAATGACAAGCATACTGGTCCAGTGAGAGCCTTGGATGTGAACATGTTCCAGGTTTGGCTTTGACATTCATTTGATACTCAGTCACGGTTGTTAAAATACATGCTGCTCATTTGAAATAAGTTTATGAATCTAATGCCTCAGTCTTGGAGTTGAAAGCTAAAATGTACATGCTTGTAGTTTGATGACTGAGTGTATTTAAGACTAGTGGGTTTAGGGTTTATATGAGAGTGAATGATACTAACTTATGGAGGGGACCAGGCTATGGGTTTATTTCTAGCAGTCCAGAAGGGTCTGTCATAATATCCAGTTGAACATTTTTAAATAGGAGCTCCTGAGATTGGAAGCCTTGCCTTTTAAAAGTTTGTGCTAAGTCAGCATTAGGCTGGTAGTATAGTGTCACAACTTATTAACTGGGAATTAATTGATTAATTAATTGAGACAGGGCCTCGCTATGTAGTTAAGGTTGCCCTTGAGCTCACTGTGTAGCCCAGGCTGGCCTTGAACTCACAGTGATCCACCTGCCTCAGCCTCCTGAATGCTGGGATTAAAGGCATGCACCACCACATCTGGCCTGAAATTTTGTATTTATGTTAGATGACTACTCTCTGAATAATTAGGAATTAAACAAATAATGCAAATTTATCAAATAGGTCATTAATGGAGGTACAACTGTAATCCTAGCACTTACGGAGGCTGAGGCAGATGGATAACAAGTTTGAGTCAAGCCTAGGCAATTTAGCAAGACTCTGTTTCAAATTTAAAATATTTTTAAAAGGGATGTGGAATATAGCTTAGTGGTGGAATGCCTCTAGGCTCAAACCCCAGTACTTCAAAAAAAGAGAGGTATCTGTTGCCTTATACAGTTATTGAATATTAATTATGTAAGTGTATAGGTTAATACAGATGTTGAGTTCATGGGATACTAAATTATAAACAACCAAAAAATAAATATAAAGAAAAATGTTAAATAGACTTTCCCCCCATACTGGTGATTTAACACAGGGAATGCAGTACTACATCCCGAGCCCTTTTTTAAAAATTTTTTCATTTTGAGACACTCTTGCCAAGTTGCCCAGGTTTGCTTTCAATTTGCAAGTCTCCTAAGTAGTTGGGATTACCGGCATGTGCCATTACACCTGGATGAATAGATGTTCATGTATTAAAAACACCTAGGGTGTAGAAATACCAAAACTTCATTTCTGCAGTTTGTGTTGTCTACAGTAGCTCGCCAAGTCCGTACTTGAATTAAATACCTGCTCATTTTTGGTAAAAGTATCTGGTGGGTAGCTATTTACCATAGAATTTTTCTGTTTCTATAGTTAATGTGCCATTTGATTAGATAAGGAGTCATGAGAGTGAATAACAGTGGATGCAGATCAGTATATGAAGCTCTTTGTCTTCTTATGCTTTATATCACAGTTTTAGGGTTAGACCCTAAAGCTAGCTATGTAGTAGAAATAGCATAGAAATGTTGTCATCTGGAACAAGATTGGATACACACAAACTAAAAATACGTGAAGATTTAACACAAGATATATTACTTTTCCTATTCTCATGTAGCTCTGGAGCCTGGCTTTCAGGTACCATGAGAACAGTGCCATAGTTTGGGGATTTTATGATTGCTGATTTTTCTTTTGTCTTGCACAATCATTTCCCTGCAGAAAGGCAAATATACAAACATAATCTCTATGTGGTTACAAGAGTGATTAAGAATTTGATTCACATAATTGTTCTTTTTTTTGGTAATAGCTGGCATTAACACTTCTTTTGAGTAGATTTATTGTTAAATAGTTTTATACTGTTTCTCTTTAAAAAAATGAATTTGAAGAATTATGAATAAAGATTTCATACGTTTTGCTTTTTTATTTAAATAGATTTTCCCCAAGCCAACATCTTTCTTGCTCTGAATTCTGTTTCCTTAATTATGCATACATACTATTTAGTTATTAATTATTTTGTATTGCAGACTAATCTAGTAGCCTCTGGTGCTAATGAATCTGAAATCTACATTTGGGATCTAAACAATTTTGCAACTCCAATGACACCAGGAGCCAAAACACAGGTATTATGTTGATTTTGGTCAGTGTAATCAAAGCAACCAAGAGTAGTTCTTATACTTATTTATTTCAGTTTTAAGTTTTTTAATACAAATCACTGTTTACATGTCACTGATTTTCCTTAAGATAGTGAAGTGTTAGTAAATGTTTCTTCAAATTGATAGTGAGGCTTTATTTATTTATTTTGATTTTTTTTGGTTTTCTCCGGTACCGGGAACCGAACTCACGACCTTGCACTTGCCAGGCAGGCGCTTTGCCGCTGAGCTAAATCCCCAGCCCCGATAGTGAGGCTTTCTACAGTAATTATTTATTCAGTGCTTACTGCCTGATAGACACAGTTCATTGTACTGGGTGTAGGGTAGTAAAGAAAATAGACAAAAATTGTTAGTAATTCTTTTACATATAGTATTATTTTTTCTCTTGTGTGGTAAAGTATTCTGACAGTATTTTAAATGTATTTCCAGTTAGTTAGGTAAGAACAGTCTTTCCTTTCCTGAGTTTCTCTTTAAAAAAATAAAATATCGAAGTGCCTTGTACATGTGCTTTAAAGTACACCATGTGCGTTTTAGAATGGAGTGTAAAGGAAAATCGTGCATGGGTGGATCAGGCTTTTAAATAATTCATTTTTAAAAATGAAGTATTCGGTTTTATAACTAAATGTGATTATGGTAGAAAATGGGTTTAGTAGTTTATTCTTTGTAGCCCCCAGAAGATACCAGCTGCATTGCATGGAACAGACAAGTTCAGCATATTTTAGCATCGGCCAGTCCCAGTGGCCGGGCCACTGTGTGGGATCTTCGGAAAAATGAGCCCATCATCAAAGTCAGCGATCATAGTAACAGGGTAAGTATGTGACTGATTTGAGATGAATTCATATCTCTGCTGTAGGTGTTTCCTGTATTATCGATCAGAATTGCAAATAAGTTTTTTGTAAAGTCAAATCCTGTCTTCATCAATCATTGGAATGAATGGCTTTTCAGTTTGCTAAGGAAAATAATAAAGTTCTCATTAAACCTTATTGGATGTTACTAATGATTCAGAGAGGGACTACCTAATCCAAGTGCTTATTATTATTTTTTTTTTTTTCTGTCTTTTTGACAGGGTCTCGTTATGCAGTTCAGGCTGGCCTTGAGCACACTTTGTAACCCAGGCTGGTCTTGAACTTGCAATGATCCTCCTGTCTCAGCCTCCAGAGAGTTGGGATTACAGGCATGCACCACCGTGTCCGGCTAACTTTTTAATTCATACTTAGCTTTTCTTAGAAATGTATAAATTTTTCCTGTTAGAAATTGTACGCGTATGAATGCAGTTTCTAAACTTTCAGCTTTTTCTGATTAGGCTCTGCCAAGAGGAGCCACATCTTTCCATGTGCTCAGTAGACACAGCTACAGAGCACGTGAAGTTCTCAACTTTATAAACTCTTTGTCATTAGATATTGTTAAGTAATTTAGATAAAATTTAGAGAATTATTTTGTTTTTACTTATATTGGCTACTTTGACATTTTCTAAAGCAAGTTTGCCAAAGTTAGAATACATATACTATATAATTTTAAAACAACAGTAGCAAATTGTTTAGAAGAATATTACTTCAGAGTATTGTATTTCAATGGATGAGGAGTTTTAAAACACAAGTTTCAATGGAATGATCGTATAATATGCATTTATTCATCTTCTGAAATGTTTTGCAGGATTTGAACTTTTTGAGAATTCTCCATAATAATACTTATTCCATATGAAAATGTAGATCATAGTTGCTTCAGAAATGTTTTCTTGAGTTCCTTTTTTTTTTTTTTTTTTTTTTTGTGCGTAGGTCTCACTGTGTAGTGTAGGCTGGCCTTGAACTTGCTTACGTAGCCCAGGCTGGTCTCAAACTCATGGACATCCTCCTGCCTCAGCCTCATGAGTGCTGGGAATATAGGCGTGTGCCATCATGGCCAGCTCCTTGAGTTTTCTGATAGAAGAAATGTATAGGAAGGAGGTTTTTAAGACTACTGTTCAATACTTTTAATAAAATTTGATAGTTTTAAGTTTCGGTTTAAAGAAAAGCTAAGCCTAGGCTGATATTTTTTACTATTTGTCTAATAAGGCTTAATCCTCAAATTTCATTTTGGGTGTTTATAAAGTCATGTGATTGCTAAAATCTGAACCTTCACTGTCTGCAGATGCATTGCTCTGGGTTGGCCTGGCATCCTGATGTTGCCACTCAGATGGTCCTGGCCTCTGAGGATGACAGGTTGCCAGTGATCCAGATGTGGGATCTTCGGTTTGCTACCTCTCCTCTCCGTGTCCTGGAAAACCATGCCAGGTATCATGTTACTGTCCAAGACTTGATTTGTTTATGTTCTAAAACATACTTGTTTACCACTCTGAATTATCCAATTTTTATTTATTTTTGAAACTATCTTTATATGTTGCCTTTGCTGGCCTCAAACTTGTGATCCTCCTGCCTCAGCCTACTGACTGGCTGAGGCTTGAGGCATGCCCCACTGCTTCTTGCTAGATAATTTTTTTTCCTTTTAACAAGGGGGTTTACTATGTCTCTTTGTTGTGAGTGGCAGTACCAGTGATTGGTTTGTTTGTTTATTGTTATTATTTATTTTTGAGACATTGTCTCACTGTGTAGTGCAGACTGACCTTGAACTCACTGTAGCCCAGGGATTTCCTTTACCAAAATGGAGCCAGAGCATGCCATTATCAGTATGAATCCTTAGTTAAAGAGTTTTTTATCAGGTATTTCAAACAATTATTAATGAGTCAAAATTCTTACAAATCACAATACTTTGGGACAGCTCTTAAAGTTTATTATACAATTTGATCATTACTAGTGTCGTTGTACTTATGAAGAGATTTTCTTTTTTTTATTTGAGAGATAAAAGAATGAAAACATCTTAACAAACACATACATTTAGAAAATAACAGAAACAATACAAGCAATACAAAATCTCAGACAAGGTGATAGGAAATTAACAATGGCTGTTTTATTACATATTATATCTTCAATTCGGATATACTGAAGATACATTGGAGATATCTTCAATTTGGATACTCAGATAAACAAATATAGACATGTAAGATTGACCATATGCGTAACATTAACTGTTCCTTTCAATAGAGCAGTAAAAGTCATAAAATATGTCAAGTAATAATTTTAAAGTGTATTTCTAAGTTTTATTTTATTTTATTTTTTTTACTTTGTTTGGGTGTTTTGTTTTTTGTGGTGCTGGGGATTGAACCCAAGGCCTTGTGCATGCTAGACAAGTGCTCTACCACTGAGCCACATACTCAGCCCTATTTGGTTTTTGAGACATCTCACTATGTAGTTTAGGCTGTCCTTAAACTCTCGGCAGTCCTCATGGCTCAGTCTCCTGAGTGCTGGAATTATAGGCGTGCACTACCATGCGTGGTTTCTAAGTTTTTACTTTGAAAGCAAACATTTTGAGAAATTACTTGGTTTATTATTTCAATTTTAATAAATGTGTTGATGCTCTAAGAAGGTGCAGAGATTTTCTCACGTTTGTTTTAATATTGTTAATTTAATTAGTAATTTGACAAATTTCCTGTATTGATATTCAGGTACCCAGAGAATTTATGCAAACTTGTTCAGTGTTTCTAAACAAAAAACAAATTTCTTTTAACAGGATGATATATTTTAAGTGCTTCTAGGCTTTTTTCTTTCTTTCCTATTTAGTGATACGTAAATTAAATTTTTAAAGCCCTCTCTTCCCCTGTAGTGAGTTCGTACTTGAGGAAGTCTTAAAAGAGTCTTACACATTTATGATGTTAAGGAAAAAAAAAAGTTTATGATCTCTCCTGAAACTTTTTTTTTTGTCTTTTTGAGACAGGGTCTCATTATGCAGTTCAGGCTGGCCTTGAGCTCACTTTTTAGTCCAGATTGGTCTTGAACTCGCAATGATCCTCTTGCCTCAGCCTCCCAATTGCTGGGATTACAGTCATGTATCACCATGTGCGGCCTCCCCTGGGACTTCTTTTTTTGGGGCGGGATGTCAAATTAATTTTATTATGTTGCGTGATGAATTGCCACCAGTGCAACATCTTATTCACTGTACATTCCAAAAATAATTCACGTACTAAAAAAACTTTCAGTTGATAAATGGAAATGAATGATTGAAAAATCTTTATGAATCTCATACATACAATATGTGGCTAGCTGAAATTGTCTGTCACACAGCATGTAGATATAAAAAGCCTCATGCTCGTTTGTTAAAGGCAAAGGCTACCGGACAATTATTTAGCTGGAGTATACACAGGAGGCTTTTGGAGAATGCCTAGGTAGAGCTGCCCATAGTGCAAGACAGTGGAGGACTGAAACATGCAACCTTTCATCTTGGTAAAGCAGATTTCATCTTCATGCCTGGATCCTGGAACTTCTTATAGAGAAAAGAGCCGTCAAAATGTAACCCTGTTTAGATGTTATGCTTCCATCAGACTTTTAGTTTGTTTTTTTTTTGTTTTTTTTTTCCTTTAAGGATGAGTCTGAGAAGTTTTAATAGTTTCGTGGTGATATTTATTTTTTATTTTTTTTTTCCGGTACAGGGAATTGAACTCATGACCTTGCACTTGCCAGGCAGGTGCTGGGCCGCTGAGCTAAATCCCCAGCCCCTTGTCATGATATTTAATGTTGAATTCATTGACTTAAAATTTCGTGCCCTCAGACGACTGACACTGAAGTAACACATATAGTGTAGAAGCACCATCCCAGTCACCTTGGTTAACCCTCATCATAAGCCTTTGGGTACTATTATTGTCGTATCTTGAAGGTAGAAATTGAAGCTCAGTGAGGTTAAACTTGCCTGGAACCATACAACCAGCTGCGTGCTGACGTCTGGCCCAATCAGTGGGATCCCAGAGTCTGTTCACGTTGTGTTGTCTTCCTCACTGACTCCAGGTCCAGGGATCAGAAGTTAGCAGAACATCTTGCTCTGCTGGGTGTCAGGAGCAATTCCCTCTCTAGTTCTGTTTTCTTTCTCTAATAAAGGAAATAGTTGAATTATATTATTTTAAGGTTTCTTCCAGCAGTACAGTTCAAGACATTCTTGATATATGTAGACATGTTGTAAATTGTAGAACATGGCTAGATTTTGAAGAGGGAGAGAATGATGAAGTACATTGTTGATGCTGTTGGAGGAATTTGATTTGTTTTTGAGACAGGGTCTTGCTATGTGGTTCAGGCTGGTTTTGAACTCACTTTGTAACCCTGAATGGCCTTGAACTCATGGCGATCCTCCTGCCTCAGCCTCCTCAGTGCTGGGATTACAAGTGTGCGCCACCATGTCCAGCTTTAACTTTTTTTTTTTCCCCCCCGGTATCAGGAATTGAACTCATGACCTCGCGCTTGCCAGGCAGGCCCTGTGCTGCTGAGCTAAATCCCCTGCCCCAAACAGCCGGCTTTAAAATGATGGAATTTATAGATATAGTTAGATAACTTTTTTTCATTGATTATAAAAATAGTATAGTAGAATTTGAGGTAGATTTCTACAGTTTTTTGTTTGGTTTGTTTGTTTTGTGCTGCTGAGGATGAAACCCAGGGCTTTCTGCATGCTAGTGCTCTACCATTGAGTTGTTCCCCTGTAATTTCAATCTGTGCTTTCTAACCCAAAGATGATTTATATTTTACTATCACGTAGTAGAACCATGTTGGCCACTGGTATTCACTCTTTGCTCGTGCACTGTACACTGTATTGGACGTCCTGTGTCTTTGTAATGATCAAGAACATCACTAAATAGACTTCTAGAAAGATTACATTCAATTATACTTCTGTTAGTGTAGGAGTCCTCAAAGCCTAGACAGAAATAATGTAAGATCTGTTTTTCATGGTATTGGAAACTTACTCAGCTCTGTCATTTTTTTTCCTTTGTATTTTTTACAGAGGGATTTTGGCAATTGCTTGGAGCATGGCAGATCCTGAATTGTTACTGAGCTGTGGAAAAGATGCGAAGATTCTTTGTTCTAACCCAAATACAGGAGAGGTATGAGGAGGAAATGTTTCTCGGTCCTATAGAAATTGTTATTTCTAGTTAAATGAGTAATCTTTCATACGGATTTTGTAAAAGGCGAAAGATTTATGCGATCTGAAGAGAAACCAGAGTCATACGGATTTTGTAGTGCACTTGAATAATTCAAGACATGACAGCATAAGAAATGGGTATGAAATGTTAATCCAGTGGAGATTTTTCTCCAGAAACATTATCTAAGCTCATTTCTTTCAACCCAAAAACGTAATCATTGAAATAGTACATATAAAGCTAGTAATAAGTATCTGTTTCCAGAAGTGTGTTCATTACCTAACTTCAGAAATACTTGTTTAGGAGCTGGGCTAGCTCAATAGTGGAGTGCCTGCTTAGCATGCACAAAGCGCTGGGTTCATTCTCTAGTACCAAAGAGAAAAGCAACAATAATGATAGTACTACTTACTTTGATTTATTTTACGTGTGATCTGTGGAAATCATTATATGTGTTATATGCATGTTCACACTTTGGGTCTTTTCCTGCTTTAACTGTGCCTGCACACCCTTTTTGACTTTTGGAAGTCAGTAAAGTTTTTAAATCTTTTGAGAAAGCAAGAATATATTCTTCCTTTTCTCTCTTCTCCCTTTCCCTCCCTTCCCCTTCCCCTTCTCTCTCCTCCCTTCCCCTTCCCTTCCCTTCCCTCCCTTCTCCTTCCCTCCCCTCCCTTCCCCTTCCCTTC